CTTTAGTAGAAGATGAAGCAGCATCTCAGCTTCAAATGATCGAACTTTCTGAGGATGACAGACTTAAAAGCGTTCTGAAGGAAGGAACCGTGGAGTTTTGGAAGATTGTGCCGGTTGAGAGATATCCCAATGTCAAACGGGCTGCACTCAAACTACTGTCAATGTTTGGGTCAACTTACATCTGTGAATCACTTTTTTCGACACTGAAACAAGTGAAATCAAAGCATCGCTCTGTTCTTACTGACACACATGTGAAAGAGTTACTACGAGTAGCCACAACTGAATACAAGCCAGACCTAAAAGAGATTGTGGAAACCAAGGACTGTCAGGTGTCCCACTGAGTCAAATAAAAGGAGGTAGGCTGATTTAAATCCATGAAAACTATTGTGTTATGTAATTAGGTGTATAAGTTGTGAACTGTTGTTTGCTCATCTGTTGTGTGGCTCTTTGTAGTGATAAAGTCTTTTTTTTTGGCTCATTATGGCAAACAGGTTCGCCACCCCTGCTCCAGATGATCAATGGGGAAACGCATGCTTTACATTTTCCCTCAAGAACAAATTGACACTACACCCCCTTCTCTATTAAGCTGTGGATGGGTAAGTTCACCAGAACAATGGTGTAATTTCATGCATAGATTTGTACAAAACATTCTCCATCTTCAGAGATGCTCTGGGCAGGTGGTTTATTGTTCAAGGATTTTATTGTCAATTCACCTTATGTGCAGGACATACAAAAAAAACGAAATACCGTTTCTCTCTTGACATTTAGGAACTAAAACAGAATTAAAGTAGAATTAAAAACTGGATTGATGTAATTAGGATAAATCAGTACAGCCAATAAGCTGTGACTCAAAACCATGTACAGTCAGTGACAGTAGTGCAAACAATAGGAGATTGTCAGATGGTTCAGCATCACCAGGGCGTTGGTGATGAGGTGCAAATAGCATATGAGGTTGACATGGACAGTATTGCAAATGACCAACAGCAGCAGATATACCGGCAAAAAAAGTCAACAGCAGATTTACATGTAACAGATGGTATTGTGTTGTGTGAAGGACATCTTTGTTCATGAATAAAGTTAGGTGACACTAATCTCATTTGAGGTGGATTCATTAGCTTTTGCAGACCTTTTAATTACCTTTACAGGTTTTCTCCATGTTTGTCATACTAAATTTTGAAAAGAGATCTTGTGGCATAAGCAAAACCTACAGAGCTGCTAATATATTCAAGTATCATTTTGTTCAAAGTAGAAGTGTATTGAGACTGTACTAGTACTTGGTAGTACTTCATTACTCATTCACGTGCTGTATTTTGGCAATGTGTGCAACAGTAGGACTAACCATACTTTGCATAGATGTATAAACTATTTACGTTGTTCATTTTCCCCAGCTGGCTTGTTTGTGGCCACCAATATTAGTTCATGAAAGGCAAGTAACTGTAAAACAATTTGTTGAATACAGTGCACCTGAAGAGTACGTCAACTCCTGAACTTGGGAGGCACGCAGTCCAGTGAAGAAGACAACCAAAGCTTTGTGGGTTCTCACTACAAACCTCCAGACAACAATTCAGAGGTTAAGTAAATTTTCAGACCATTGTGAAATTTAACATTTCTTCAGTTTATGATTGCTTAAATGTGGAACCTTTTTATACAAGAGTGGTGCTTTACAACTGCAGAGTAGTTTAAATTACTGTTAAAGATCAAATTTGCATGGTCTGCTTCATAAATTGAGGGTAAACATAAGTGAATGTGCCTTATAGGCTTGATGGCGATGAACCCGTCTGACCAGCGGAGGGGCAACATCAGCAGTCTGGTCTTTTCTTGGGACTGGCCACCAGTAATTCAGAGGTGGCTATTTCAACATTTGGTGAGGTGATGTCTTGTATTTCAAATCCCCCGCAATTTTGTCAATGTTAAATTGGAACGTTGCAGTGTCCAGTCTGCATGTACAAAGTGAAGCAAACCTATTGACCAATGTGATGGGTTGAAATTATAGAACGTATTGTGCTTTAAACTCAAACTTTTCCATTTCCCCCTTAGGCAATCCTTAACCAGATGTCATTCCATGGCCAGACAATCAGCAGCATTCTTGAGGACATGCACAGAGACGGGCAAGTTTGTTTTATAAATGGTCATTTTATTATTGAAATCAAAGCTTTTTTTTGTTTTGCAGACTCTCCATCCAGCTGCTGAGGTTTGGGTAAGCTGGGGAGATCCCTACTGGTGGGGTCATCGAGGTAGAGTACATTGCATCTCCATGCTGTTGCACTGCAAGGCTCATCATGTGATGTACTCTGCCTTGACGACCCCACCAGGAGGGACTTCCCATCTTGTGCCAAAAGATTCAGCACCAAAAAAAAAGGGTACTCGATGTGGGAGAAACTGACAGTGTTTTACAAAATGTTTTACACAGGGCTTTTTTTTTTAAATTGTTTTTCCTCAATAAAACTACTACGTCTTTTAAAACTGTCTGGGTTTGCGTTAACATCTAATATAGGTCTCTTAGTTCTTCACTGTACTCTATCTTGGACCAAAATTTCAGCACCATGTTAAGATGGTAATCTGTGTGGAGATGGTGGTGCTGTTTTTTTTTGTTTTTTTTAAACAGGCCAAAAAAAAAACTTTACTCTAGAAGACACTTTATTGTCATCACACAGTAAACAGCATTAATTCCATTGCACCTGAGGGTTGACAATAAGTCTTCCCAGTTGTGGCCAGATCATCTTGGCTTCCAGGCAGGCTGTGGAGGAATGTGCCCACATTAAAACAAAGACAGTTTTTTCCCTTACTGAACAAAATAACTTAAGTGTGGTGAACACTCCACTGAAGCATGCAAATTCTACAAGGTTGACTGTAGTAAAGTTGTAAAGTACTTTAGAGAATTGTTTAAGTTACTGATGTACACCAATCAGGCATAACATTGACCATATGTTTACACTTCTGTCTTAACATTGGTATTTATGAAGCTCAAAATGTATAGATTATATGTTCATTGAGGTTAAAGGTGGTGTCGTACTGGACAGTGTATTCAGAGGTGTCTGTATATTTTTGTCCTGCCCACTGACATACATGAGAGGGTCAGAATATAAGGTAGTCCAGTACAACACCATCTTTAACTGTGACCTTCACTAATGAACATATAATAGAAATTTGATTAGATTTTGAGCTTCATAAACACCAATGTTAAGGCAGAAGTGTTGTATTAAAGTGCACAGAGTACCTGGATGTAAAGTCAGGTTTCTTTGCGGCATCAAGAACTCCAGAGCCATGGCTGCCTTTCTGGCCATTTGGAGGATCAGAACCTGTGGCAGAGTTAACTCAATCAGCCAATTCCACCAAACAAGTTTATCCACGGTGAATTTTAAAAAATAATTTTGTCAGCTGTACTATCAATTTGCTGTGCTTCACTTGAGAGCAATGGCCAATCACTGTTATGACAATGTTTGCCATAAACAGAACACAAGGTTTTTACTAAAGCAATACAGGCTCTGAACTTTTGGTTTAAGGCACAACAGCAACGCTTCATTATCATATAGTAAGTGAAACAGTTGCATTACAGTTCATTCTGACCCCATGTACAAATGTGGTGGATACAAATGCAGAGTGAAAGCACTTATAAAGACGCTAATATGTACAGCTGTGGTCTTAAAACATATCAAACCAGGAAGTTTGTCAGTGGATCAGGATAATCAGCTCTATTGGCCAAGTATGTTACACACAAGGAATTTGTTTCCGGTACAGAACCGATGGCTCTAACCATCGGGGGCAACGGGGGTTCGGTGTCTTGCCCAAGGACACTTTGACACGGGGACTGCAGGCACCGAGATTCAAACCTTCAACCTTCCAGTTGGGAGACGACTGCTCTACCCACTGCACCACTGTCGCCTCCCCTGAAAAAATGGGTCAGATTGGAACAAAGAATGAAATGTTATATGCAGTTACATTGTGCTCCATGTTAGTTTTGAGAATCATTACAATTTATATCAAAGTTGCTCAAACACTTTAGAAATTAGTTTGTCAGGAAAAAAGAGCTGAGAAATTACAGTCTGACCTGAACCTGTCAGTGCAGGTATAGTACTCTCACTTAAACCACCACAGCTTTAGAATGTTTCTCACCTCATTAACTTGCAGTTGATGTCCATATGTAGGAGTGACAGAGGCCTGGAACACTGTCGGTCCTCCTCCCAACATGCCCGAGACCGAGAGTATTTATACCATATAAGTCCTATATTCTTGTCCATGCGTTCTGTGGCCTATTGAAAGATACATGGGGGGAATTGGTCCTATAATGTCTGTCCTAGTTACAACAATTACTCTGATCACAGAAACCTGTACAAACTAACACATTTCATAAAAATCATCAAACATGCAGGAAAAGTCAACAGCTCTTACTAAATGCAGGTTTTAGACAAGATTCATTAAAGGGCTATTGCATTCTTTATTCAGGTTTCTCAGTATATGACACACTTTGAGGCTAAACAGGAGTTTTAATGACAACCGTTTTCTCTAATCGATTCATATTTCTTGCACATCTGAGCCTCTCCTCCCCTACTCACCTGATCTATCCTTAATTTTCCTAACCTATGCACATCAGTCTGTGTGTACTGAATTTATATAATACACGAGTTTCACTATTTGAGTTGAATTACTGAAATAAATGGACTTTTCCATGATATTCTAATTTATTGAGATGCACCTGTACCAGCATCAAACTCTGGAAAAAGCACTGCACATAAGTGCAATTGAGGCATCTGTACGTTTTAGTTTCTGCTTCTTCACATCTTACCGTACCTTTTTACGCCACTAGATTTATTTATAACTTGAGTTTATAGTTTCTTTTCAGAATTAGATGAATACAAAGGAAATACAGTATAGGCCTAATCATGAGACTTCAGTAATCTCTGGTGACAAATTTACAAGCTACTCACCAGAAGTCCAAATTTTAACAGTTAAAATTATCCCTACCTTTACCAGCTACAACATTAAAATGATGAACACAATAATGCACCAGAAATTATATCAATGTGAAGTGCATTCTATTATTATTCTGCACAGTGACTACTTTTACTTTTGGTAATTTAGGTATATTTCGCTGCTAATGCCTTTGCACTATTATTTAAGCAGCATGTTGAATGTAGCACTCTTACCTGTAACAGGGCATCTCAGTAAAAAGACGTCGACCGGTTTACATTCACTAGTTGTCAGCAGGAGCTCCTCTGAAAATCAGGATTTCTATTTAGAGCAGATCAACCTTTGTCAGTGGTAGATGAAATAGTTTGATCATTTACTTACAGTAAGTAGCAGTACCACAGTGTAAAAATACTGCATTAAACAAGTTTTCAAACGATTACACTTTGTTAAGTATTAAAGTATCAAAAGTAAAGGTTATAGCATTGTGTATGTACTTAAATTGATACATACAAAAAGCTCAAACCAGCAGTTTACAGCTGTTCTGATTCATACATGTTTGCTCAGGACACAGCGAGCTGGTATTTAAATAATGAAGTACTGAAATCAGCTTTTAATTAGGTACAGTTTGTTTTCACAAGGGCTGATATTTTGATGACTATATAAACGCACTACAAACTGCATCAGACACAATGTTTTAGGTTAACTATAACAGAAAAACAAAGAAAATGATGGTGACTATTTGCTACATTAATTCTGACACGAGGTCAATATATTTCTAATATTCCAGTGGCAAAACCTTAATTATTATTTATTCCTACAAAATTTTCAATCACCCCAAATGATTCACTTTGAGGCTAAACAGGAGTTTTAATGACAACCGTTTTCTCTAATCGATTCATATTTCTTGCACATCTGAGCCTCTCCTCCCCTACTCACCTGATCTATCCTTAATTTTCCTAACCTATGCACATCAGTCTGTGTGTACTGAATTTATATAATACACGAGTTTCACTATTTGAGTTGAATTACTGAAATAAATGGACTTTTCCATGATATTCTAATTTATTGAGATGCACCTGTACCAGCATCAAACTCTGGAAAAAGCACTGCACATAAGTGCAATTGAGGCATCTGTACGTTTTAGTTTCTGCTTCTTCACATCTTACCGTACCTTTTTACGCCACTAGATTTATTTATAACTTGAGTTTATAGTTTCTTTTCAGAATTAGATGAATACAAAGGAAATACAGTATAGGCTTAATCATGAGACTTCAGTAATCTCTGGTGAGAAATTTACAAGCTACTCACCAGAAGTCCAAATTTTAACAGTTAAAATTATCCCTACCTTTACCAGCTACAACATTAAAATGATGAACACAATAATGCACCAGAAATTATATCAATGTGAAGTGCATTCTATTATTATTCTGCACAGTGACTACTTTTACTTTTGGTAATTTAGGTATATTTCGCTGCTAATGCCTTTGCACTATTATTTAAGCAGCATGTTGAATGTAGCACTCTTACCTGTAACAGGGCATCTCAGTAAAAAGACGTCGACTGGTTTGGACCTCACCGGGTCTTCATCAGGGCGGAAACACACAGGTGCAAACAATTTGTTAGGTTTCCGTGCTGAAGGACAGAACTTAACCTCATAAGCAGTGTTGACCTCATACAGCAAATGTCACTGAATCATATTTCACTTTATCCTACCATAAATTGTATTAAATAAGCTTCTGTTAATTTTGAAAATGTGTTAGCTTATTTATGCAGGCATTGTAAAAATTCTGAACGTTAAAAATGTGTTACTCTAACTTAGAATAAGTTAACAAAAGTAAAAGACAGTCTCTCAGATTTATCTTTCCAACCCATGCTGTATGATCGGTTCAACCAAAGACTTTTCTCTCTCTCTGTTTTATTTAGGTAGTTTTCAGAGAAATAAAGGTGTGAAGTTATTCACATGAAAAAATCTAAGGCTAAGTCTGGCAAGCCTTCAGATTTATAACAAGTGCTTTAGAGGATGAATAAGAGCCTGTTCTGTGTGTACATTTACTGCAGAAGAAGGAAAGGAAGGAAGGACCAGTTTCCTGGTCACAAACTCAGCCCACATGACAGCCACAGGATTACAGCTAAGAGGAGGACTTCTCTGTTTCAGGTGGCTGGAAACCTACTCCAACATGCCAATAAACAGTTTAGTTTCAAGGTTCAAAGTATTTTTAAGCCTATAGCTCCTCAGTAGATGTGCCACTGCTGCCCTCCTGTGGTTATGGCTGTAACTACATCTCTGAAGGTCAAACGGTCTTGGCTTGTGCACACTGACTTTTAGTTTGGGAGCAAATGATTTGCACAGCTCCTGTATCATTCAGCTGCAGGTTCAGGCCTGAGAACAGAGGCGGTGCTGCACAAGCATTTTACACTGTTCACTGTCAAGGTTAACAGGAGATTTATTTCCACCTAATTATAATAAAGGTCTAGTAATTATTTTACTTACAATCATGTGCAGCAGATTTAACATGTTGCTAGCAGAAGTTAAATCCTACAGAACCATTTAGTCTCACAGGGATGGTACTGTATCTGATTAAGGTTCAGCTCAGTTGTGGAAAATCAAATCCAACTTCCAACATGCCTGCATCCACACACTATACAGCACCATTATTTTATAGTATTCTCAGATAGTTTCAAGTGCTCAGAGAAAGAATGGACAACAGCAGGTGTAGAAACTAGAGACAAACATCACTCACCTCCTCATGAAACTGTACAGATGCTGCTTTAACTGAACTTACATTCACTAGTTGTCAGCAGGAGCTCCTCTGAAAATCAGGATTTCTATTTAGAGCAGATCAACCTTTGTTAGTGGTAGATGAAATAGTTTGATCATTTACTTACAGTAAGTAGCAGTACCACAGTGTAAAAATACTGCATTAAACAAGTTTTCAAACGATTACACTTTGTTAAGTATTAAAGTATCAAAAGTAAAGGTTATAGCATTGTGTATGTACTTAAATTGATACATACAAAAAGCTCAAACCAGCAGTTTACAGCTGTTCTGATTCATACATGTTTGCTCAGGACACAGTGGCAAAACCTTAATTATTATTTATTCCTACAAAATTTTCAATCACCCCAAATGATTTTTTGTTGCACTGTATGTTGGTAAAAGAATTAAAACATTTCTTTGCAAACTAAATTTTTGCCTTAAATATAAAACTGCAAAAACGATGGGTGAAATTATATAAATAATACATTTTTTACAATTAACCAAATGTTTAAAATGTCATGAAAGAAATTCATAGATGTGAACATATACACCACTCAGCCATAACATTATGACCGGTGGCAGGTGAAGTGAATAACACTGACTATCTCTTACAGTGGCACCTGTCAGTCTGGGGGGTATATTAGGCAGCAAGTGAACATTCAGTCCTCAAAGTCGATGTGTTGGAAGCAGGAAAAATGGCCATGCGTAAGGATCTGAGTGACTTTGGCATCAAACTGTACAGCTCATGTTCCACCACCAAGACTCCAAACGACAGCTTCATTAACACCAACAAGCCCCACGGCGCAGTGCGGATTTGAACCGGTCATTTCTGAAGTAGTCGTCCGGGGCTCAGCAAGGTGTGAAGGGAGAGGTAGAACATTGTTACACAACTTTATGTACAAACAGGTGTTTATTGGCATAAAGTATCTTTAGGTCACTGTACACTTCCCATTCACAGTCAGCTGCATGACACATAATACTCTATTTAACTATTACATTATATAGCAGCTGGTCTCCCCTTGGTCCTCATCACTGTGACAGACAGCCGAGTCAACCAATGAAAAGCCCACCTGACAAAAAAAAGGAAACAACAAAAAAGGAAACAAACCTTTAAAATGTGGTAGTTGTTAATAAACGTTTAGCTGAGACAAACATTACTTCTTTCCAAAACAAATTAAAGCTCTTACAGAAACTATTCTGAGAATTTTGTTCAAACCTTACCCGTCACCTCGATGCTGGCTCCTGTGATGTATCGAGAGTCATCTGAGGCGAGGAAGGCGCAGACATCAGCGACCTCTGGAGGACGACAGTGATAAACATGTCAGATAAACATACAGACCAGATACAGGCCACGTCCCTGCCCCTGCAGATGAGGAGGATTGAACAGGTGCATGGATCATGAAGAGAGGAAGGAGAGTTTTATCACTTTAAAATTACATTTTACATGTTTCTTGTTTATTGGGCGTAACAAGAAACCTGAAATCCTCATATTAAAGGATCTGTGAAATGAGAAGAGTAAAAACAAAGCAGTAGTGTCAGACGTGTCCTAACTGACCTGCAGCTTCGCCCATCCTACCCATTGGCACCAGGGACTTGATCTGAAACAGGAAACATCACACTGAATATCTTTAAGGACAATGTCACGGGATGTGGAGATAAAGGTGGTTTAACATTTAAACCAAACCTGCCACTGCCCCCTAGTGGCATCAAACTGTACCGCTCATGTTCCACCACCAGGACTTGTGCAGCTACTCCAAACAACAGCTTCATTAAACACCAACATTTGAGAAATTAAACTGCATCTTTAGAAAAATATTAAGTTTACTCAGAATAATCCTCTTTCAGAACAGTTTCATATAAGAGGAAACACTGTCTCAGTTTTGGTTTGTGTGAACTGACCCTTTGATGTTGCCTTCCTGTCTTAATTTTTGTTTGGTAACTTTATGTGAACTTTCTTATCACAAAAAGGCATTTACAGCAAAAATAATGTTTTATAAACTGCATGATGTTCAGTACTTAGACTATTAGTTACGTAAACTGCATGATGTTCAGTACTTAGACGGTTACATCAGGCCTGTATCAGTCATGTAAACTTCATTATTGACCCTTCAGCAGTTTAGACGTGACGTAGATGAGGTGCTACTAAATCTGTAGTACCCAGGTGTGTACTGTACCTTGCTAATAACCTTCTCTGGTACTTTGTCCGTCATCGGAGTCGATATGAACCCGGGCAGCACACAGTTACACCGGATCCCAAACCTGGAGGATGACAGAATAAAGACAAATGAGCGGGATTCGTGTGTTTTTTCAGTTCGATCAGCTCATGTGTCACTGTTCTGACCTGCTGAGCTCTTTGGCAGCTGTTTTGGTTAAACCCTCCACTCCGGCCTTAGAGGCAGCGTAATTCACCTGTCCGATGTTTCCCACCTACAAACAGGAAGCACAGAGACACAGGAACACACTGCATTAAGTTGTGCAAACTTCAGCTTAATGCTGAAAGTGTGAAATTAAACCTGTCACCTTTCCCACGATGCTGCCCACAGTAACGATGGATCCTTTGGGTGCTCCACAGGCCACCAGAGCCTGAGCGATGGCCTGAGTCACCAAGAATGAGCCCTGGGAGACACAGGAGGAAACGTGACTGACCAGTATCTCACCAAGCAGAAGACAGATGGAGGCTGAAGCCCGACTGTCACCTGCTATTTTATCTTTGAACTGATGGTACTTTTAATCAGACAAACTGGTTTCTGCTGCTGTCTGGTTTGTTGTGGAGAGAAGCAGTTAAAAATAAACAGCTGGCAGAAAAGCTAAACAAGGGTTTAAAAAAACAAACTGCTGGTTTCCTGTAAAGTGGCACATTTAAAACACTGCTCTAGTTTCTCTGACTTCACTACAGAATAAACCAAACACCTTTCATAATCATGGATCACCATGATAATCTAGAAATGGAATTACCGCAAGAAACCTGAGAAAGAAACGACTCAACACTGTTTTGTTGTTAGCATTATTGTGGACAAAGGTGCGTCTGTGTGCTGAGGACCAGCTTCCCAGCTGCGTACCTTCAGGTTGACCTGGAGGACTCTGTCAAAGTGCTCCTCCTCCATGCTGAGCAGGAAGTCGTCCTGGGTGATGCCTGCTGCGTTCACACACACTGACGGAGGCTGGAAGTATCGAGTCTGCAGGGAGAGGAGACGTTAGGTGCTACCAGCGAAGACAGAAATCATGCAGGATTCTCATACGTAGAGAGAGCAGAGAGTTTGTCTTTCTCTGCTGGGACTTCAGTGGAAAGTCTCTCTGTGTAACACACACCTGGATACTTGTGACCAGCTTGGCTACGCTCTCTTTTGACCTCACGTCCATCGCAGCCGCCATGTGACCCTGCCCTCTAAGGTCGCGCTGCAGGCTCCCCAGCGTCTCATTGGCCGACTCCTTGCTGATGTCAGCAACCACCACAGAGGCGCCCTCAGAGGCGAAACGCTGACACACCGCCCGCCCAATCCCACTGCCTCCTCCTGGGTGAGAACAGAGCAGAAAGGTCAGAGCGGCAGCGGAGCAGAGGAAAATAGACAGCAGCCAAACAGAGCTGAGAGGAAGAGTTGATTAACTAACATCTACAACAATTTTCACAACTGAACATGTATCCAGTGATTCTGCAAACATGTCCTTTTATTTCTACTGAGCTATTTCATTTATTTGTACCAGATCTGTGGTGTTATTCTGCCTCATTGCAGTACATTTTTCAAAAAATGTGTCAATACATTTCTATCCCAAAAAGTAGGAGCATCTACAATGATGGTGCTTTATCACTGATATCAGTGCTGAAATGATTAGTCAATTAATCAATCAACTGGACATTTTATCACTGATATCAGTGCTGAAATGAATAGTCAATTAATCAATCAACTGGACATTAGACACAGCACAATACTTCCCTCTGAAATGCAGTCGAGCAGAAGTAACAAAGTACCTCAACAATGTACAGTACTTGAGTAAATGTAGTTTCGTTTTAGTTATTCACTGGGTAATAATGTGCTTCCAATGGGAGGATTTGCTTTTTACTGATATGATCATGAAGTGAATATCTTTGTCTCTTGGTCAAGAGGATTTAGAGTTGAACTCTACACTGTGTATGTACACTAGTTTTAGCCATTTTGTAGACAAAGGATGAATCCAGAGTAAAAACGTTCAGATTACTGAACTAAATCCGTCCCGACTCAGATTTAAAGGTTTCTACTTTGTTTGATATTGATGGGTCAGATTTAACTTTCTAAAGCCAACCCCCCAGAACTCGTTAACTAGTGTTAAATAAGCGGAGACACTAACTTCCAAACACACAAACAAGAATTAGCGTTTGAACACCGTTAGTTTAAATGAGCGAAACGAGACACATACTGGCGACGACAGCACGACGTAAACATAACCTCCAAAAACAGTTCCTATACAGTTTTTCTGTTATTCATCTACAGATTTAAAGGTACGTGGACAAATCTAAACTTACCAGTGACCAGCGTCAACCTTGAAATTAGTCTTGTGGCAGGCGCCCGCCCCCATGACGGTTTCTATGTTGTTGTACTTTTAGGTTTGACCACTAGGTAGCCAACTCACAATGAATCCTTCTTCCTCTACGTTCTTATTCTTCTTCTGTTACTTAATGGCGGTTGGCAAACAGCTTCTTCTACGTTATGTTACTAGTGCATATTCTTGATCTGATTTCTGATCAATAACTTATGGTTCTGGGTATTTCTAAACGTTGCCTTTGTCCAAAATAAATAAAGGTAAAACACACGGGCATGGGCAGGAAAAGCAACCAATCATCACTGCTGTTCAAATTTTTACAAAGGTGTAGTACCGTAGACAGAACTGTCCTGTAGTTGTCAGTTTGACCACGAGGCGGCGCCAAATGACAATGGATCCATTTGTTTTCTTCTACGTTATTAGTCCAGTTGTCCATATTCTAAAACACTTTTTGAACTGATATCTGATAATGTTAACTTACGTTACTGGTTAATAATTTCTAAACGTTGCCTTGGGCCAAAATAAATAAAGGTAAAACCGAAACACGCTAAACGGATACATATCAAACACTTCTACTGTTCTCATAACTTAGAGCTGTAGCAACGCACCGTGACCACCGGAGGGCGGTATATACAAACGCACCACCAAGTGTAAAGACAGACACAGCATAAAATTATTTCTGGTAAATACTTTCAAAGTAAAACCATCAACAAAAACGGACGTGTGCTTGTCAACTGATTCCTTAGTTACAGTACAAATGATTTACGTAGCAAAAAGGCTAACAATAGGTAGCTCTCCTGTGTCTTAGTTTTGTGGGCTACGTTTGTAGTTCTTGGTTTGCCTGGAAGATAAAAGTTTTTATGGATCTTTGTCTCCAGTTAGATGATACAAGTGAAACTAGATATTGGAAATATAGCAGATATTGCAGTTCTGGTTTGGGGCTGGAATTAGCCCACTAATTAGTTTAAAGCCACAGTAAGTAAGTAAGTAAATAAATAAGTGTGAATTCAATTAGTTCATCCAAATGTAAAGACTGAATCCAAAAAGTATAAGATGAATGGCAATAATTAGCTAAACAAAGCTTGTGCGTTATACAGTATACGTATATTCATCTAGGTGCTACATGTTGTAGTGTTGCATATTAAATCATACCATTTTTGTATGAAATTAAGAAATAAAAATTAAACTATTCATGGTGTTATTGTCGAAAGCATCCTCACTATTAAGACCTAAAAACTTTACACAGAATCACAATCAGCTGCCAGTGTATTTAGTAAACCAAACTAACAATAGTAATACAACAATTACTTGTTATAGTAATAAATACATTTAGTGACAGTAGATTTCATTGTTTTCAGGTGCTTCTCGGGCTGTGTAAAACCATCCTGAGCGTGTCCCTATGTTACATAATGTGTAAATAAATTATCCCCACAGTCAGTGAGAGGATGAACATGTCTCAGTTTATTTATGTACAGATGTAATGATGGAGTCAAGTACAGAGGTTTTTAGGTTTCTGTCAAATTTCAGTAAAGTAAGACTGACAAATGTGGAGTGTTTTGTTTCAGAACAAAAACCATAAACAAATCTCTGGACAAAGAAAAATCTTGACTAAGTTACTGAAGAAACATGTTCAAAGGTTGGGACTGTAAAATATGTACATGTCTACAATCCTGACAGTTATTCTGAGCATTCTTCTGAAAAGCTTTTGATTACTTTCAGTATTATGAAAAAAACAACTCACCTTTCAAATTCCTCCTAAATAAATAAACATACAAACTCCAATCTCAAACCATAAGCGTTTTAAAAAGAAACTAACGGGTTCACACCTCAAACTCGTTTAGTAGTACCACCAAAACAAACAGTGCATCATTATTACTCACAACTTTAAACCTTATTTTGTCGTCAACTGGATCCCAAATCTCAGTGAGTTTTACCTGCTGAAGTGGCTGCAGGAGAGAAACTCACCAAGTCTCCAGTTACTGGTAGAACTTCCCAAACATAATACTGATGTTCTTAATCACACACACATAAGTAAACTTATTCTTCAGCAAAACTATGTTAACACAAACTCAAACCTTCAGCTGCCACAGAACTTAAAGGCCAAAGTGTTTTAAAGAGTTTTTCCTAATGTGACACCATAAGTGATGGATCATGGGAATCGAACCCAAAGTGCTTCATCTGCTTGAATAGAACATCAAAAACCTTTTCTTACCAAGTGAAATACTGAAGTGTAGCCAGATGTGTGACTAAACCAAAAGAAATCCAGAGAACCAGGATGTTATTGGGGCACAGGTGAGTGGACACATCCTCACAATTTATTAGCAGATTGGTCACGAAGAAAGAAAAAAGCAACATGTTTACAGAGACGTTGAGAAGGGATGAAAGAGACGGCCGACATGGGAGCAGAAACATTTCCATACAAAGTGATGTTTAACTATGTCACATTTCTGTACAGTGGCCAACCACTTCAGACAAGTACATGAGTACACAAGGATGCAGTAAAGTAGTACATGAGCCGGCTCCTCTGTAATGCATGCATTCTGTATTCTACTCAACCAAGGTGCTTCTGAGTGCAGACTGATATTAACGCCTGCTTCAAAACTCCGGAACTTCACAGGGCTGCACTTATGGTGCCGGATCTCACACTCGCATGCAAACACAGACACGACACATTCATACACACACACACACACACACACAAACTTTTCCCCTATTTGTCACTCAAGGAAAAAAAAACAAAAAAAACAAAAAAAAAACCCTAAACAAAAACTAAAACTCATCTCCACCTGTTACACCACTTTGTCTTTCCCAGAATGAGGGAATAAATTAGCTCCATAAAATGCTTCTTTATAAAAGAAAATAGATATTTATAGAACTGTACATCTGATCTCTACAGCATAATGACAGGGAACACGGTGAGAAGGGAAATTATCTCCAGAAACAAAGAGAGATTCTGGCTCTAGCACCCTAACCCCTCCACCGCATATGCGCTCTTCTCCTTTATGTGCAGGATATGGAGCGTCCCTTGCTCCACCCAACCAGGCCAGTTCTTCAGAGACAAGTCACCTCCTCCCTCCATCCTGTGTTCTGTGCCCAGGACAGGACCAGACGAGTGAGCCGAGCGCAGGGAAAAGCCCCATCTCTCTGTCCTGGTGTCAGACCGGTTCTGCCTGGTCTCGTCTGATCCGCCCCGCGGCTCCGAGGTCAGTAGCTCTACTTCAGTTCAGTCCACTCGGTGGGAAGAGAAACACCCACAGAAAGCCTTGGCCTCTCAGCCGGAGTCTGAGTCGCTTGTGTCTGAGGACGACGATGACGAGGATGATGAAGAGGAGTCTGAGGAGGAGCTGCTGGCGCTGAGACGTGAAGGCTGGGTGTGAGTCTCAGCTGCAGGCTTCTCTGCTGGAGGAACAACACGACACAGTCAAGACCATGTGCTGGCCTGTTCAGTTGCTACTGTGGGTTATGGAGCCGTTTGAGTTTATGAGACAAACACTTGGATCAGTCCCTGACATTTCTGACATCATTACACTTTTAATCATTTAGTAATAAATGCTCTTCACCCGTAACCATGGACTCCACAGTGTGGAGGACTTACGTTTGGTCTTCGGAGGCTTCTTCCCAGAGTTGAGCTGACCACTGACGTCCATCAGCCTCCTCTCCAGCTCCATCTGTTTCTCCAGGGCGAGCTCTTCACGAGACTTTCCAGCACTGTTCTTTTTACTTGCTGCATATAAACACACAAGTAACAATTTCAGTAAGATGCAGAACTGTACTACCTTATCAGACATCTACACACTGCGAGGCTACTTGTGCTCAGCTGTTCTGTTCTTTGCTCTTCAAAGGCCTCAATAACATTAAAGTTTGTGTCCAACTGTTTTGTAACTTTGTTCAAAGAATTAATAAAGGAATCCGTCCTGTCCTTCTACTAACCGTATGGCTTTCGAGGCTTCTTCCTCAGACACGTCATGACGTATCGCTCCAGCTCCCGCAGCGTCGATGGCTTCAGTGTCTCGAAGTCTATCTCGATCTCCTCAGGGTTAGTGTCTCGGAGCGAGGGCTCACGGGACTGGATGATGTAAACAACGCGACCCAACTTCTCACCAGGCAGCTTGTTAATGTCCAGACTGAGCTGACGCTTCTCATCATACGACATAGGGGCTGTCTCCTCCTCTTCGTCTGAGTCATAGTGACTCACTATGGGATCATGGAGCGGCTGAGGCATATTGAACATCATGCCGCCCTTTTTGGCTCTGATGGGAGAGGGGGTGTTAGGAGATACTGTTGGTCATTACATCAGCATATTATATGAGAGAGGTATTTATTTACATCCGATACTTGATCTGAAACTATTTTCTATACAAATCCACCCACATGTAACAATCTCACATCTGAGACATCTCGCAATGTTTCTGAAGAATCATTCACATGCTCCAGCACCACAGACTTTCAATTTTGACACTGTCCTATAGGTGTCGGTACTCACTTGCTTTTGGTGGTTTTCTTGCTCGGGGCCTTCTTCACAGGGATCACAGGACAGCCTATTCCTCGGTTGCTCTTGGGTTTTGGAATCTTGTTGAGTTTGGGAGTCTTTGCCGGCCTAATAGGCACCAGCTCTTCCTCCATCCTCCGATGCTTCTCTTTTTCTACCTTTTTCTTCTTTTTCTTGTCCTTCTTCTCCTTCTTTTTCTTGGGTTTGACAATGGGGCCCTGTGAGAGTGCGGTGAGCTGCTCATGAACTGCTTTGAGCTGTAGGGAGATGAAAAGACAAATTAGTACCACAAAAACATGCATTTGAACATTTTTATGAATTTCTGGCTTCCTGCTCTGATGTGTGTGTAAGTACAAACCTGCTCCTGCAGCTCTGCCAGTCGGTTTGCTCTCTCCTCCTCCGAGTCTGAGCTGGGGCTGCTCTCACTTTCCTCACTTTCACTGCTGAGCTCACTCTCAGATGAGGAGGAAGAGGAGGAGGAGGAAGAGGAGGAGCTAGGTGGTGCCGGGGGCTCGTCTGGCATCTTGGCAAAGCAGAACTCAAACACATCCTATAAGGGCAAAACACTATGTGAGTGAACCGATTTAAAAACAGGAACAAAGAGGAGAAAATAGCAGTAAAACTAAATATTATACATTAATAATAAATATGTACATGTATAAAATAATTATACATATACAAAAAACTAACTACTGACAAACAGGTTAATTAAAAATAACTACATTACCTGGAGTTTTCTGGCCATGGCCACCACATCATGATCAGGGGGGTTGTACTTGTAGCAGTTGGAGAACATGAGCCTCACATCAGCCGAGAACTGCTGGGCATCACGATACTCTCTGCTGTCCATCTTCCGCTAAAGACGATAGGAGAGAAGGGTTTAGCTCAAAACCACATTTCAGAAAAACAAAGCAAATCCATCCGTCCCATTGGCTGGTGTAACTAAAGTTTATAAGCACAGAGTTTTCACTATAAAGGTGAGACCTACCAACATCCATTAAAGAAAACCTATACTATAACAACACTTCAGTGCATCAGGACTGGAAAGCAGAGAGCATCCTCTGCTCCGACTCCTTTGTGTACTCCTAGGACAAGTACCTTGATGGTGCTGAGGTCCATGGGCTGCTTGATGATGTCATGGTAGTCGTGAAGACCAAGTGAAGTGGCGTCGACGGGCTTGTAGAAAGGCCAGGCGTATGCGGCATGCTTCTTTGACAGCAGTTCCTTCAGGACCCCGCTGCAGTAGCGCAGCTGGGGGCTCAGCTTGCTGCGGCGCACTGGGGTTGGCTGCATGGAGTCTGGTAAATCCTTGTTAGGAGGTTTGATGGGCCGCCCGCTCACTCCTCTTCGGCTCGCTGCCACTGCTTTGGTACCCATCATTACTGTTCCTCGTCCCATACCCATCCCCATTCCCATCCCCATGCCCAAACCCATTGCCATGGCTTGGTTCATCCCGAGGCTGGAGCTGTGGTCCACCCCCAGAGAAGTGAGGGTGAGAGGCGAGTCATGCCCACTGCCCATCCCCAGGCTGATGCCGCTGACACCCATGGTGCTCATGATGGGCATGGCTACAGTGCTTGGGGTGGTGGTGTCTGCTTTCCTCTTCACACCTTTTTTCTGTGGTTGAAGAACAGGAGATGGGGGGCGGGGGGATCAGACTTTAGTCTGTGGTCTGGACTCAAAACTCTAAGTCTGAAACACAATGTCACACATTAAGCATTACCTTAGCAGTGGGCTGTGTGGGAGGCAGAGCCGCAATGGTGGGGATGCTCTGCTCCAGTGAAAGGGTAGGAGGCAGGCTCTTGGTCACAAATGTCTGTGGGGGGGTAGAGAGGATGGAGTCAGGTGTTTCCGGGGTGGGAGGTGAGTACACTGACTGGGAGACAGCTGGGACCTGATGAGCTGTTGTCACTCCCCCAGAGACTGGGAGAATAGGAGAGGCAGAAATAGTCAGTAAAATTATTTGGGCTCATATGTGTGTGTATTTTGGAACAATCAATAGTGAATGTACAATGTCCGCAGAGATAACATGGCGTATCAGCCTGCTTGCAGTCAGCGCTCACCTGCATTACTTCTGCCTTTTTTGACAAGTTTTGCTGCTTTGCTCCGCGGAGGAGGAGGCGGGAGCTCTACCTCCTCCTGGGGCATCTGAGCCACTTTCTGCAGGAACGCCTTCTCCAGAGACTGAGCCATCAGCACGATGTCATCTGTAGGCTGGAGAGGACGACAGTCAGACAATATGTTTCCCCCAATACCATGTCTTCACTGTCAAGACATTTCGCATGTGAACCTTACATGTTAGGGTAAAAAAATAAATAAAACATTTTAAAATCTGTAAATGGCTTCAGTTCCCAGAGGACCCAATGTGTATTATTTTACAGTACCCAGACAAAAGCCCCACGTCTGCCACATGCCCAGGCTATCAGCAGCTACCATGAAACTTTATCCTGCCAAAATATCTCAGGCTCACACTTTCTCAGACACACATACAGTCTTACCTTGTTATAAATGTAGCAGTTGGTAAACATGGTGTTGAAGTCCTGCATGCACTCACTGGCACTGCGGTAGTAGTTGTTTTCTAATCTCTTCTTGATAGTGCCCATGTCCATGGGATTTTTGATGATCTTATGATAGTCCTGCAGGGAGACAGAGACACTTTCAGGACAAGAACCGATGGCCAAAATATCCCGATATAATTTTCTGAAGTTAACACATAATAGGAAAAGCATCTAAGGATCAACTGATAACATGTGAGTGGTTACTAAAGTGATTTAAAAACTGCACTGTACAGCTGACAGAACTCACACACTGGACTCTGGAAAACCTGTCAGTGTGAAATAGCTTCATGACTCTCCTAACCCTGAGACACATTGTGGGCACAGGCATTATGTCTTGTGGAAAGGAGTGAAGTTGTCCACCCCCCAGGCACAAGGTGGATAATGTGTAATGTCAAGACATTCATACTCACAGGCAGGTTGAGCTTGACGGCGTCTACAGGTTCATGGAAGGGCCAGGCGAAGTGGTGTCTCCACAAAGACTTGAGCAGGACTTTCTGCAGGAACTGAAGCTGGTTGGTCATCCTGCCTTGTCGGCTGGGGTCTCTGACTGGGGGCTGTGGGGGCCCTGAAGGGACCATCTGAGTGAGGGGGGGCATCCCGGGACTCTCGAACCCCTCGTAGAGCAGTGAAGGTTTTCGAATGCGTTTTCCGGCTGTGCCAGAACTCTGGTCCATAGCTGTGACTCCCATGATACCAACCTCAACCCCAAGATGGGAGCTGTGGAGATCACAGTAGAAAAACCAGTAAATATTTTGGTTGTGACAATGAGCCAAGACTGATGTGCAGGGGTGGTTCATCACCTCCATAAAATCAAATTTCTGACTTAACAGCTGAACTACTGTTCTATCCAACTGTTGGTTATGAACTATACTTACAATAGCTGTAACAAAAGAATATGCATCCATAACTGTTTCATTAAATACTCTGAGCTGTATAAACAGAAATATTTTCTTCTTACTTCTATCAAGCCGGTGCCTGATAGATGGTACTGATATCTGGTTTTGCACCTAACCGATTTTTTACAGTGCAGATGTTTATCCTGCCTACACAGGTGGTTACAATCTAGACCTTCAATCTTAATCAACTGAAAAGTTCCCGTCTCCCAGTACTGACAAACATTTGTCCAACAGCAGTTCCATAAAACCGGAGCAAAATATGAAGACTCACTTACATCATCATGACATATTGACATATCATGACCTGTTATTGGTGCATGTGTGTTATTCTATCAAACCTACTCATCCTGCTTACACCCCAACACACAATGCAGAGCAAATCCCCTTCGGAAAGCACGGACAGTCAGACGCTGCATACATTACTCAGCAAGCATACAGCAGCATGACTTGGAATGTGCTCCTGCCAAATCAGCACTCAGTGCCAGAGCACAGGCATGGCTACCACTTCCTCCTCTTACTGATTAACAGGCAGAAACTCCACCCCCAGGTTGCTGTAGAAAAAAAAACAGCTCTCCAAAGGATTGTGGGTGGAGCTTCAGCTGCCATGGACATTTTTCTTGAAAAACTTGAGCAATGTCCATAACATCCCCATAAACTTGGAAAATATTCAAATTTATTACTGCCCACGCCACTAATGATATCTGAACCTTCAATCATCCTGCTCATAAGTGGCTATAAGGCTTTGTTGACCACTGCAATTTAAGGAGCTCAATGTCCCTGAGCATCTTCCTAAAATCCTCATCAGCAACAGTACTAGTGTTATTCTATTGGTGCCACAGGTGCAGACAGCAAACACCACCCTCTCCACCCTCAACAAAAAGTGTAGCATCCAGGCAACTGTATGTTATCACACACCTGAAGTTAGCAAGTAAATACAGCAAGTGTAATAACAGACTGCAATTTATACTTTATAGCATGCAGATATAACTATGAAAAGAGCACTGCCACTCAACAGTGCTGAAGGCAAACTGAGCAGCAGTATGTCATAATACCATTGACTGATCATAGCCAGTTACTTTATAGTGCTGCTATGTAAACCTGTTCACTGTTAAGATTCAAATTAATGCACATCTCTACTAAAAACTAATAGCAATCAGTTTATGTTGGCGTCGCCTCCATCCTCACCAACAGCACAAACTCACCACCTGTCGGCCTACTGAGACTTTACCTGTAAAATAAGACTTGTTCCAAGAGCAAAGAGGGACATTTAGGACCATCTGCTGGAAAAGCCTTCAACACTACAGCTACTTAACACTTCATAAATGTGCATTGTGAGGTACTGCACGCCTCCTTTTAATCTAAGTTTGTTTTAAAATAAAAAGTTCATCCATCTGCACATTAAGAAGTTTAACCCTTAAACGACCTGATGCAAACCAATGTCAAGTTATCAGTGTGTTTACATCATAGTGAGTATAAGATGCCTGCTGTGAAAGAGTACCCGTCCATACACTACCTGTACCCCAGGAATTTGGAGGATATTTGCACTGGACCACCCTACTCATATATACTGAGAAAAATAGTAACAATGTAATGTAAAGTTATCTACCAATGCAGAATATCTTGAAAAGTATAAGCAAAAAAAAAAAATCTAAATCTAATAATCTAAATCACTTATGGTCACCCAAGTAGTTGAATGATACAACTTCAGAAACACATTTGACAGTTTGTGTACTTTATTATTAAAAATGAAAGGTAATCTTTTACATAACATTAACAGCACTAAACAAAAACATCTTAGCCTTAAGATAAGAGTAAAAAAAAAAATAGAAAAAAAGAAGTATGACCATAAAAGACAGAGAGAACCAAAACAAAGGAATCTGGTACGTGGGTTCTAGTTAGCTTGGGTTGAGTGACACGAGTGTTGTAACTAGGCAACCGCCTCAAGCTCCCAACACACAGAGAACCCAACCTCAAACAGGAGGTTGGAGATTTACAATCCTGATAGTCGAATTTTACAAATCCGTGTAACGTTATGCATTCGCTCATCTTAGTCATATATAAATAATGTAATGATCGTGCAAAGGACAGTATTAGTTGCGTTAGCCCTTGAGCTACTACAATGTCAATGACCGGTGATCACAACAATCTCCAGCCCTCACATGGCTACAATAACAAACCACTGGCCAAACAAGCAGAAATGCCGGTGCTCCTCTGCCTCCAACTGTAAGTCTAACATTACCTAATGTAGCGCAACGCATGTTGGACAGTCCTGTCAGTCACCAACATACATAATACACACAATAAAAGATAAGGTACATCGTCTTGGGCAGTTTAACATCAGGTAAGAACACTTGAAGCAAATAACCGCCATTACATAAACACGGAACACTGATCTCACAGATAAACGGTTTGACTGGCAGAGAAGAGGCCAATGCTAACAACGCTAACACCAACTGCCAGGCAGCGGGAGAGATCGGCCAATGGCCGAGGAACTCCGAAGATGGCGCCGGCATAGTGCGCTCTACAGTGTTCGCTTGTTACAATACACAAACACTGACATTTCCTCACCATGAATTTTGCTTCTGATCCCTTTAACAACACGGCATGCTTGTTTGAGAACATTAATAGTCCGTTTCTCTTTCGCTCTTATTACAGCAAACAGGCTGTCAGCAACAATATTTTAGAAAAACCATAAGAAATGTTAAATAATCCCTCTGATGGAAAGCTGAGTCAGTTTTACCGGTAGATACCTGTCAAAGGGCGGGTTAACAGCCATATCCATCAGGATGGATCCGGATTCTGTCTTTAGCTAGTCTCAAACCAGGACCCGTCTCTTTCCGTCAGTTCCCTCCGCTCTACTCCACACAAAACTCCTTTCAATCTGCTTCGTTGAAATGGCGACGATGCGACTACACCCGTTCTTTTTATACATTAACCACTCACTCTATTGGATAGACGACATCGCGAATGTTCACGCCCCCAAAGGTTCTATTCGTTGTTTATTAAGTCCATCAAAGTCACCACACCCCTAAATACCGAAGCTTCCCCGACAATCTTTTGGGCCAACCTAGTCGCAAATTTTTGCTGTCCGTCAAAGAATTTACAAAATACTATTGGCTCAGCCTAGTCAGCATTAAAGATATGTTGTCTGTAACTGGCTCCTCCACATAATCCAGCAGAAAATGAAAGAGCACCGACAACACCCTCCTCTTTGTAATATTACATTACGTCAACGTGTGCAAAGCGGCGGCAATGATTGGTCAATACGGCTAAAACGCGGGCTTCTAGGATGAATAACAAGAAGGCTATTGGTCGATTCACCCGGTCACGCGTACCCCACAGGAGCCATGAGCCTCTCCCGGTGCTTTCTGCTTACCAGAAAACATCCGCATTTCTGTCTTTCGAAAGAGGCGCACGGTCGCCATTTTTAAGTACGTCGACAGAGTATAACTGAATTATTTCAAGTTATTAAGGTAAAACACTAAGCAAAACATGAAAAATACAACCTATTTCAATTACGAACACAACTGGGACAAGTAGCCTTCATTATCTGCTGAAAAAATGCACAATGAGAACACAGTAAAACAAGGCCTTGGCTCACAAAGAGGTAAGTTGTACAAAAATATAAAATACAAGCTTTGACTGAAATGTACTTCGGTGAGGCTACAGTTCCCGTTCGCTTAACCGAACATAACTGTCACAGTGAACAATAAAGACCACACCTAGCAGGGTCACAAGAACCAACTATCCAGTGAATGACACAGCATTTTCCTTCCCTGACCTCAAGACTACTTTTACTCGAAGGCTGCTTTTGCGCAGTCCAATAACTAAACGATCACAGTAGATTACAACCTAAAGATAAAGGAAGTCACAAAGGAAATGTGTCTTATAAGGCTGTGAAAATACAAATACCACACATGACATTTGAGAGTTAAAGGATTGATTAAACCAACACTAACAGCATTAAAATGACCTCAGTTGTTAAATCCTAAATCCAAAATTATTTAAAAACGACCGAAACTACTGATTCAACAACAATCAGACAAATGGTTACCTAACCACATGTGCCCAACCCCCACACCAAGGTTACAAAATCCCTACAATGTTACTCAAATAAAACAAAATTAATGTTAAATCCTTAAATATTAACCACTACTGAAGTTTGTACAACTCGATGCTGTAAAGGAAAAATGTTCCAATGGAGAATTAAATTACCCCAAAGAAAACATATTTCAAGGTAGGACATAAAACCCTGAGTTTAAAGTGAATAAATTTCGACTGAAAATCCCAAAATAAAGCGAAACCTTTCTTCAAATAATCTTCTTGTCTTCCACCTCGATACTTTTTAACCAACACATTTCCCTCAAACATGTCCGCCTTCTTCCCCCATTCCCTGTGCTGGGTGGGGGAGGGGAGTCATGTGATGAAATAACAAGCTCGATCAGCGCATTGTTCATCAAACCTGAACACGTGGCATTGCGCAAAAATTGCGATATAACGTTTCCACGGCGGCCCTTTCGCATAAAGCGTCCCCTCAATATCCACATACTGTTGTTTGTTCAGCACGTTAAGCTCAGATTTGACGATAAAGTTGGCAAAATATCCAAACAGAGAGCATACGTTCCGTTGGATTTGGCTTGCTCCGATTGGTCAAGCTTGACCACGTGATAGAAACGATTTTAGTATTACTGGTTGTTATTTCCTAAACTTCCCTTATTGAAATCCATGTTTGGTCGCAATAATCCGTCCGATTCCCTACAGTGTCATTCGGCTTATGTTTCATAGTTTGTCTCAAAGCGGTTAAACATGTCTGTTTCTCCAGATGACTGTTGTTGCTGTCGATCCCAGTGTCTGTGTTGCAACACCAAGCATTGCGCATGCGTCCCTTCCATGAAACCGCGTTGATGCACTGAGGACGCAAGAGGCTGATCCAAGAGCAGTTTCGGTGTTTTTTTCATATGATAAATACGGAGATCCAACAATAGTGCGTCTCCAGGAAGGAGATGGGATTCAGCTACAGACGATCTGACGAGTTTTGGTTTGCAGAGGAAGAAGATAAACAGTCACGGCCGCAGCTTTGTGCTTCATGCTTTTGAGTGAAGGAACTCTTTTCAGAATAATTTTTGTTTCAACCCATAAAGTTTATATGCAGTTTTTCTTGTTTGTTTTTAATATACAATTGAAAGCACCTTTGCCTTTGTCCAGGAAATATGATGTACAAATAAAGGCATAACTCTCAGAAAGCTGTTTATAATTTACAAACAAAACCAGTTAACTCAAACTTCATTAATACAGAGCGTGTGCACATTGTGACCATACAACAGCCACAAAGACAAAAATCAACGTGATGAGTGTATAGGTGACAATCACAAACTCATCATACATTTTTAATAAACCACAAAATGATAATTTCAAAGTTTACACTCAATAAACAGTCTAAATCAAGACAGAAAACTAATATTCAGAAATGATGTTCTGGCACTTGCTGCAAAATGAATGTTTCAAATATTATTTTTGTTGCTTTGTTTCTGTTTCTAATTACAGGTTTGATGTAGACTATTTGAATCAAATGAAAACAGATACACTTCATTTCAGGGATTTCTGCCATCACTCTTCTCACCATGGCTAATCGTATGGAAAAATCAAATAAGATTGAAAAAGAATTGCTATTGCTCCCAAAAGGGGAAGAACAAAAACATGAAAACTGAAAGTAACAAGATTAAATGTACAATACGATATGGTGTGTTTCTGTATATCTGTGGGGGGCCAGGCTGTGACCTGAACACCCAAGGGCAGCTGTGTAGGCAGAGGAAATAGAAGGAGGCAGAGGTTGGAGGATTACATCAGAATCAGCCTCCTCTGACTCATCAGCAGCTCCCTTTCTCTCTCTCTCTCTCTTTATTTTTTGTTGACAGGATGAGGTTTTAGGTTCAAAGTGTTTATTGGTCATATGCACAGTTAGGAAACGTGTTTCCCTGTACAATGAAATTCTTACTTTGCCGTCCACATGAATGCCACAAAATACAAATTAAATATAAAGTAGATAAATAACACAAAATCTAAGACACTTTAGGCAACAGCAGATGCAGCAATATAGTAAAAAAAAAAATACAAGAATATGACAATGTATGCTGCATGGGAGCAACATGTGCAGCAGAGTTGTGCATGTAACAAAATCTAGGACACTTTAGGCAGCAATAAATGCAACAAATGCAGCAATCGAGTTAAACTGCTGTCATGGGTTATGCCACAGGGCCCCCTCCATTCACATGTCAATCATGACAACCAAAATGAAACCATAAGCTACAATTTACAACAGTCTGCAGACAGATAAGTACAGCATATGTGCACATGCGCGTGCACACACACAGTGGGTAAGGATGGGTAGGATTTAATTACTGTTGATGCTTTGGTTTAGTGCAAGTCAAAGCAATGGAAATTATGGGCACTGCAATAGTGCACAAACAAGCTACCAGAAACAGTCACATCTTTAGGAAATATAATTGTATAATCTTTTTTTGTGTTACATGATGTCAAGTACATTTCTCTCATAAGCTCAATGATAGCTACTTTGTCTGGTGATGCATTGCAAAATTGAACATAGAGGCTACGATTCAACAACCATCTGATGAAATATGTGTGTCCTATTATAGCAGTAAACAGAGGCCAGACCACAGTGGCATTGAAAGAACAGCTTGTTTCATGAAGGTGGCCTAACCTGCTACTTGAACTCATCTGACTCGACAGCTCGACTTTTCTGTGCATGTAACTGCTGATGTCACAACAAAGGGACTTACAGTAAGTAAAGGGGTTTGGAGAAATGCCCTCATGCTGTAACCATCTGCCATATACATACTGCATTACCTCATCATGGAGGTGAAGGGAGGCAGGAAATCTGACATCATTTGGTGGTTTTGACTGATTAAAAATAAAGCAGCATCTGTGTTGTTTCAACAACTAACACGTCATTGTTTCTACACATCAAGAGATGTTCAGTACAGTTGTAAACATAACTTCAGCTTCTGTATATCCTCCTTATCAGAGCTTTCAACGGTTGCCGCTCTTACGGGCCTGACAGTCAGAAAGTCCAGGAGCAGGTCACAGAGGGTGGGATGCAAACCCAGGGGGGACAGTTTGTGGGAGCGTTAGTCAATTAAGAGTATCCTGATGTAGGAATCTCTATTTTCCAGGTGAGATAGGGAATAGTGGAGGGCAGCCGTGATGGCGTCTGTGGTGGCCCTGTTGGGCTGGTAGGCATACTGCAGGGGGTCCAGGGTGTCTGGTATACTGCTCTGAATGTGGGCCAGCAGCACTCTCTCAAAACACTTCATAATAATTGGGGTGAGTGCCACTGGCCTGTAGTCGTTCAGGCAGGTGACCAGGCTCTTCTTGGGAAGGGGGATGATGGTTGTAGTCTTAAAGCAGGTGGGGACGATGCTCTGGCTGAGGGAGAGGTTGAAGATGGTGGTGAGAACATCAGCCAGCTCGCTGGCACATGCCCTGAGAGCCTCCCAGGGATGTTATACGGTCCTGCCGCTTTGTGGGGGTTGATCTTCCTCAGGACTGTGCGTACCTGGCCTGGTGAGACAGTTAATGGAGGGGAGTTGGGGGGCTGGGTGGTCTCGGTAGAAGAAAACGAAGAAAAAACCGGCATTCAAGAGTGGAACGCGCAAACATGTTCGCCTCGGTGGGTGCCATGTTAACACATTTTTGTCAGGTGTTGCAGATTATTTGGTTTGTTGGGATTACTGAGGGGATGGTTCCAGGGTCAGGGGGGCAGTTTTCTTTTGAGTTATTTATATTTGGACCCAAGTACTCTGTCAGAAAGAAAAATAAACATATAATGATCAACTATGTATCAGGGATGGCTAAATTAGCTATCTGGATTTCCTGGAAGAATAGTGTGTGTGGCTGGGACTGAGTGGACCCTGACCAGGTGTTTAAAGGCCTACTAAAAGCCCAGCTAAGTGTGGAGCATGCCTGTTACAGTGGACAGTACAGAGATGTTTAGCCTGATGTGGGCGGTTGGGGTGTGTGCTGTGTTCACTGGGGGATAACAGTGACACTTTTGATCATGGAAACATCCATGATTATTGTGTTTTTTTTCTTTTCTTTAGAGATAGTGTCTAGTGGCTTAATTATAACTATGTATCATCTGTAAATGTGGAATAAAGGTGCTTCTTTTGAAAAAAAATCTTTCTCTCTCTCTTTGCGGCACAGTGGTGAGGTGGTTTGCCCTGTCTCCTTTCTGTGTGTAGTCTGCATGTTCTCCACCTGTGTGGGTTCTCTCCAGCTTCCTCCCACAGTCCAAAGACATGCAGCTTAGGTTGACCGGCAACTCTAAATTGCCCGTAGGAGTGAGTGTAGGCGTTTGTCTGTAAGTGTCAGTCCTGTGATAGACTGGCAACCTGTCCAGGGTGGACCCTACCTTTCACACTGCTCGTGACCCTATTCAGCAATAAGCGGTATAGATAATGGGTAGATCCCTCTCTCTCTCTCTCTCTCTCTCTCAGACAAACACACACTTCTCCTCTGTCTCCCTCTCTCTGTTGTTCTCAGCGCTTGGCTGCATCAGCTCATCACATGATGGCAGTCAGCCCAGAAAGGTTGCCAGGGAAGCTCTCTCACTCACATCTCGGCCCTGAGTCACAGGTTGCCAGAGTTTAGTAAATCCAAAGGAAACAGATTCAGTACTGACTCCTGTATCGCAGGTCACTTTTATGCTGTCTGCTCAACCTGGTATCATAAATAAACTGCAACAAAATAAATGTATTTTGTGCGGTTGTGATGTTTGCACAGCTCTGCCTCAGCCCGTTCACTTTCTCTTCCTTAGCAACAACGGTCCCTTTGACAACTGATGCAGGCAGCACTTTCAGATACAAAAGGCCACTGTGCATCTTCGTACCCCATTGTGTTTCTGTGCCATCATCTCTCGAACATCATATTCTCTGAAAAATTGTCAAGCGCAAGCGTAAAGACGCACACTCCTCCTCCCACACACAGACACACACACACACCCACACAGTGCTGCTCACATTATCTTTGTTCATGAAGTTGTTTTGCACATGGAATCACAGTATTTGGCACTAACTTACTGATCATTCCATTTCCAGCTATTTTCATTTGCATCCCAACATGTTAGTTGCTTTAAAAACCCTGTATTCAAAACACAGCTGTAATGTTTTTGTCATGTTGTGT